AAAAAAAACAACTCCTCTGGCGTACCTGGTGATGGCTGAAAAGTGGCACACTTCGGACGCACGAGCGGGTTGTCAAACGGGAACCGGCCTTTCACACCACCTCCCTCGTGGGTGATACTCCGGTCGATCTTGTCCTTCACTTCTTCAAAGAAGCGCTCCTGCGCACTGGATGTTGAAGTATCATCATCGCCGGCCCCTCCACCGGCGGCTCCTCCAGCCCCACCTCCTCCTGCTCCACGACCTGGCGCTGCTGCCCCTCGCCACCCTCCTCCACCTCCCCCACGGCCGCTCATCCCCCCTCCTCTACCTCCTCCACGGCCGCTCAGCCCCCCTCCTCGTCCTTGTTGGCGCGCTCCGCGGTCGTGATCTCCGCTTGCTGCTGGTCTCGTCGCTGCCGCCCTCGCGGCGGCGACCACTTCCGCTGCTGCTGCTGCGAGTTGTGCCGGTGTTCCTGCCCCTGTTGCGGCCTCTGGTGCCGCTGATATTGCCGGTGCTGTTGATGCTGGTACTGACCCCTCACCTATTTGAGAGGATATTACTGCTGGAGCTGCCCCCCCGCGTGCTTGGGAGGCTTCATGGGCACGGGCTTTACCCTTGCCTTTGCTGGGAGGGTGCGGAACGGGTACCGCCGCCACTGCTGCTGCTGCTGCTGTTGTTGTTGTTGTTGTTGTTGTTGTTGGTGTTGTTGTTGTTGTTGTTGTTACGAGCTCTGTTGGTGCTGTTGCGGATCCTTCTCCTACGGTTAAGAATGGTGGTGCCCGAGCTTCTTCTCCATCTTCTCGAGAGTGGTCACCCTCATCATCCAAGCGAGGAGGCGACTGCTGTTGTGTACCAGCGGGAGGTGGAGTGGACTCGCGTATCGTTGGTGCCGCCGTGCTTGATGAACCACCAGAACCCCCACTAACGTCGACATCACGGGCGGATGACNATCCTTCTCCTACGGTTAAGAATGGTGGTGCCCGAGCTTCTTCTCCATCTTCTCGAGAGTGGTCACCCTCATCATCCAAGCGAGGAGGCGACTGCTGTTGTGTACCAGCGGGAGGTGGAGTGGACTCGCGTATCGTTGGTGCCGCCGTGCTTGATGAACCACCAGAACCCCCACTAACGTCGACATCACGGGCGGATGACGCGCTTCTAGAATCCGCACTGCTTCCCTCCCCACTTTGGTCTTCACTCACCCGTGGCCGCTTTGATGATGGCTGGGCTTGCGGGTGCCGGGAAAGCATCTTTGCGAACGCGGCCGCCTGGTTCTTCTGGTGCGCAGCTATCCTCTCCATCTCCGCATTTGTTTTCCGACCCGCCAAAATCCGCGGAGAGATTGCAAATTCGCACGAAACGTCCGAAAATCCGCACCCCCCGCACCGTGTTCTCGATTGCGCCCCCCCCCATCGCCAGCTCTATCCGGCCCCGGCCCCCACACCGCGCACAACATTCTTCACCTTGCCATCCAGCTCCCTCTGCAACTGCTTCTCGCTTCGATCAGGTCCTGCTAGCATCCCTATCTTCCAAGCTAGCGCATAGCTCCGAGTCGAGCAGACAGAGGTGAGCGTTCAATGCCAAGTAGCAGTTCGGTGTGATGCTCTCATCTCTCTCGCAGCCGCCACCACTGCCGTCATCAGCAGCCGTTGGGTTGCGTAGAAATCAGCACTCTGTGCTCGCTGGAACGTTGCCCTTTGCCAAGTCTGACCCAGCTGCTGCCAGGTAGAGCGACGATACTCCTACCTGTGTACCGCGCAGGCCACGCATGATCCTCCTGGCATATCTGCTGTCTCACACTGATCGTCGTCCTCTCTCTGTGGTGGCATGTGCCCTGCTTTTTTTTCAAAAATATCCGCAGCACAGCGAGCAAGATCAGCAACTCTACAGCAGACGACATCATGCCGGTGTCCGCATTGAAGGAGAGCGACTTGCTGAACCGCAAGGGGTCCTTCTCGGAGGAGGGCGTCCTGGGCCTGAAGAAGATGGCGTTGGTGAGGCGCTTAGGAAGTTGTAGCACACGAATCGCATAAGCACACGACGGCAGCCTCAAAAGGCTGCTGTCCCTCCCTGACTGCTGTTGTTTGAAATTCGAAAATTGGATGCCAGAGCAACGGAAATCGCAGCAGCAGTAGCCGCGGGCTTGGGATCCGCTCGCAGGGCACAGAGAGCCATCCTCTCACACGGCATAAGCAGCAGTGTAGTCCGAACGGGCGGCCAGCACGATCGGCAGCCACGCGCCACCCTGTCCAACCACTCTTGCCCGTGCATTTTTTTCAACGACACTCCACACTTCCTTGTCTGCTACTTGCTTTAAATCTTTTTTCAAAAATTAGACGGCGGAGGGAGAGGAGAACGAGTTCAAGGGGTGCCTGGAGGTGTCCGAGATGCGAAGAAAAGAGATCGAGGGCACCCTCAAGCCCGAGCCGCTCCTCATCGAAAACCCGGGACGCTTCGTGCTCTTCCCTATCCAGGATAACGAGGTTCGTCAGGCAGCACTTGCTTTTTCAATCGAACTTGTCGAGTGCTTGTACATGCAAGCAGATCCAGCCGTTTTTTTCAAATTTTGATAAAGGTCAATTCGGCAGCTCTGCGCTCGGATTTTGCTTTGGGCAATGTGTGAGGGTTGGTAGTGCTGTGTGCGTTGCTGCTGCGCTTGACCACCCCCACATCGGTGTGTTGGAAAGGTCGTCTGTCGAGCGGCTGCGGCGGAGGCGGCATCTGGGTCCAATTATTTCGGTTCTTATTGGGCTGATTCAGTCTGCGTCACATGCACGCGGACCAAATACAAAAAAATGTCCAACGGCTGCAATTTGAATCTGTGTCATCGATCTTTTCATCCGTTGCCCTCGGGTATGTTATCAACACAAGCTCTGTTCCTCTGCATGCGAACAGCAGCAGCCAAGCACCACCGCGGCGGTCTCTAGGACTTCCATGTCCCACCTTTTTTTGAACCGCACACGCACAATATACACAAATACCCCACCCGTCCGTGAAGATTTCGAAATGCGAAGCGTACATAGCATGTCTTGTACATGTGCCTTGAGCAAATTGGTGGCGAAGGACGCGAAGAGCGACGGTCATGTTATTGAGGCGAGGTCTCGCTACTTCGAAAGCATGCACGTCCTTACCCAATAATCCCCTCCTCCTTGCGATGGCAACAGGTGTGGCAGATGTACAAGAAGGCGGAGGCGTGCTTCTGGACGGCGGAGGAGCTAGACCTCGCGCACGACCACAAGGACTGGGAGGGGCTGACGGACGACGAGAGACACTTCGTCAAGCACGTCCTCGCCTTCTTCGCGGCTAGCGACGGCATCGTTAACGAGGTGAGCTCGCTTGTCTGCCTGCCTGCCTCAGTGTTGTCCATGGTTGTGTCGTGATGGCGTTGTCGACCAAGTATTTTGCTAGTTCTTGTCGGAATATTCCAGACTGGTTCGGTGGGACATGCTTTGTGTGGGCTATCGGGGCCGGTGCGGTATATTCATGAACAGAACGGACTTTGTTTGGGAACCGCCCTTGATGGTTATGTCGCTGAATGTGGCGACAGCAAGCAAAAGAAAAAACTACAAATCTGCTGAATATAGCAGCAGTCTTCCCATGTTCCCCGCCTTTCCACCTCCCCGCGAACGCGGCTCACGTCAACATCCCGCAAGACCGCCGCTCTAACTTAGTTTTCTGCCTGCACGCCCTTATCGTCTGCCCCCATTCGGTATAAAAACCACCTCGGAAACACCAAATTTTCAGAACTTGGCAAGCAACTTCAGCAGCGAGATCCAGCTCTCGGAGGCCCGCTGCTTCTACGGCTTCCAGATTGCCATCGAGAACATCCACAGCGAGGTGTACAGCCTTCTAATCGACACGTACGTCAAGGACGCCGCGGAGAAGACGCACCTGTTCAACGCTATGGAGACGGTCCCCTGCGTGCGACGGAAGGCGCGGTGGGCTTTGAGGTGGTGCGACCCGAAGCTGGCCTCGTACGCTGAACGGCTGGTGGCGTTCGCGGCGGTAGAGGTGAGGAGGAGACCGGGGATAACGGCTGGTCGGGGAGTATCTCGGGCGTGATGTCTTTGCTGGGTTTGTTTTTTTGTTGGGCTTTGTTACGGTCTTTTTGGAGAGAGTGGGCGCGTTGTAGGAACATTTAGGATGTCTTTCTTGTACATGTGGGGCCCTCGAACGACGTGTCTCATGCTGTGGTTGATGTCATCTGTGTTGTGGTTATGCCAGAGCGGTATTTGCCCTACGTGCTCCAGCTTTCACGGTCGCCACGGGGCATTCGGTGGACACCACCGACAGTAGGTGCAGCAGCACTTTGCTTCGGACGTACCTTGTCATTCGTTTTTTTTTTTTTGCACCCCTCGGTGGAACTCTCATGCGCTTTACGTCCAGGCTCTCACATGCCCTTGCCCTTCGTTTGAATGTTTCCCTTTTTCTCGCGACAACGCAGGGCATCTTCTTTTCCGGAAGTTTCTGCGCCGTGTTCTGGCTCAAGAAGCGAGGGCTGATGCCAGGGCTTTGCTTCTCGAACGAGCTCATCAGCCGAGACGAGGGGCTCCACACCGACTTCGCCTGCCTGTTGTTCAGAAAACTGGTCAACAAACTCCCCGTCGAGAGGGTGGCGGAGATCATTTGCGACGCGGTGGACATCGAGAAGGTAAGCTCCTTTTTTCTCAGGAAATGTTGATGTAACACATGTTTTCGTTAGACGTTTTGCCTTGTCCTTCGTGTGATATTTCTGCGGATTGACTGATCATGTCTGATTGCGAACATTTACCTTGGTGTTGTGTGTTTTTACCCACCACAGGAGTTCATCACCTCCGCTTTGCCCGTGGAGCTGATTGGCATGAACAGCGCGCTCATGCGACAGTACATCGAGTTCTGCGCCGACCGGCTGCTGATGGAGCTTGGCTGCGAGAAGAAGTACAACTCGACCAACCCGTTCGACTGGATGGAGATGATCTCGCTCCAGGGGAAGACCAACTTCTTCGAGAAGAGAGTCGGGGAGTACAGCAAGTCAGGCGTAGGAGTCGACGCTGCGGATCAGGAGTTCACCCTGGAGGCAGACTTTTAAGAGTGGGAAACACGTTTGGTTGTATCGTCTACTGCTCCGTAGCGTACCATGTGTAGTGTGTTTTCACGTTAGACACGAACGTTTTTGTACTTTCTCTGCAACACTTTCTGTGTCCCCCATGTCGTCCTTGGGATTCTTTTGTGAAGGCTTGTTTTTGGGAGAGGGGAATGAGTAGAAACCGAGAGATGTGTCGTCGGGCCACACATGAAAATAGAAAACCGAGTCTGTCTCCTACTGCTGTGCAGCAGTACCCAGTGGTCTGTTGCGGGAAGTGAGACGCTACAGGAGTCTTGTATACAACCAACATCTGGCAGCATTGAGAGATAAAGCAACCATTATCTTGGCGCATGGTCCTTCCCCCAACTGTCCCGCGTTCTTCGGCGCCAGTACAGAATGATTGGTAACTCTTGGGGTGTGCTTATTCGAAACCGAAACTGAACCGTACGTGAGCTCGATGTTGACGAGACCTGTCTCTGCCGGTGTTGACGGGACCTGTCTTGAGCGTTTTCTTCGGAACGAAGGAGGATCGATTCGGTATCGCCTCCGTGCCACATGATGACGTGTTGGTGATGAATGTTGTGTTCGATGAGGTTTGGGGAGCACGTTGTGCTGCCTGAGTGTCGTGGTGCAGATGCTCCCATCCACTATTGTCGTCCCGTGGGCACCACTTGCGTACAATACCACGCGCACGAGGATTTATTTTTTGTTGTTGCTGCTGTGATGTTGGCGCACGTCTATTTTCTTGTTTTTCGCGGAAGGTATGTGGCTAGATATCTAGGATGACACGTGCGTTGTCTACTACAACGCAAGTGCGGTGCGATTGGGCCTGTGTTGGAACGGTGGAGAGGATGGGCGAAAGCGGAGAAAGACAGGCCTGATGTCTCTCAAATTGTGTACCTGTTTCTAATAAAGTCTGTTGTTGGTTCATCGCCTTGGCCGAATATTTTTCGATGCAGCTAAGCGTCAGTTTTGAGTGGGTTTTGAGAAAAGGAGGGAAAGTTAATAGTGTAAAAAAAGGAAGGTTCAAAGTATGAAACTTGATCTCGGATTGAACTGTTCCGTAACTCTGGTGTGGAACACGTATCATCTGGCACATACGGCATTAAATATATGCTCTCGAAACACATTTGTCTGGTGTTGGGTCGACCCGTGAGAGCAAGTCGCCAAGACCCACAGGGTCCACCATCAAACCCAACAGCAGACACTCAACACGTGAGGAGCTCTCGAGGTTTGCCACTGCAACGAAAGGCGTGGAATCTAGACACGCGACGGCGTTCGTCCACTTGTTCGTAAGAGCATCTCCAAGCCTCGTGCCTCCAACAGTTCACCTGGCTCTCCTCCTCAAACGTCAAGTCTCATGGTCGAACCTGCTCTTCTAGGCAAGATACAATCAGTACTTCAGCCCTGTACGAGCTTCTGAGGTTTGGACAAAATTACATTGCGGACGGGTGGGTATAGCTCCTACCTTTGATGTAGAGACAACTTACTCGTACTCGTGGCCGCGGGACAATGTTTTCATCGTTCGCATTGTGGGAGCGGCAGGAGAATGGCTTCGCTACAACGACGCCTCAACCTACCGACCTGTCCATCTTCTATCTTCACGAGATCAAGGCAAGGGAAAAAAACTGAGTGAGATGACTGAGGCATATACCCAAGAACCCGTCCATTCTTCGTTGGCATCGTCGCCCTCGAAACGTCCCCTCTGTCGGCGGCTATACCATTGCCAACCAATCCATTTTCCGTGGCCACTCGACACTTCAGCCCAGAGCCAGCTCTCGGCAAGGCGAGGGTTGAATGATCGAGTGAGTGAGTGCTAGCGTCTCGACATAACACACACAACACATATTCATGGTGTCAACGGAGGGAAGAGAGGAGGAGAAGATCATGAC